CCTTCCCCTCCCCCATTTCTGATGAAGGGTCTAGGCCTGAAACGTCAGCCATCCTGCTCCTATGATGCTGCTTGGCCTGCTGTGTTCATCCAGCTCTGCACCTTGTTGTCTCGGATTCTCCAGCATCTGCAGTTCCTACTATCTCTAGCGTTAGTGTATGTTTGGCTACATAAAACAATTATAGAAATTGCATGATATTTTTCCTCCAAAATACAAATTTCATAATGGGGTGCCCATTGCTGGATAGCCTTGCATGCACATTGAATGGATATGTTTGTTGACATGAGGTTTATGAGTACTTGAGTGAGATGTTTATTGATGCAAGTTATCAACCACAAATGAAATATCTGTTTTGTCTGCTTATGCAAGTCAAAACTTAAATGAGATGTTTGCTTTCAGAAGCATTTGTTCTTGAAATTTCACTGTATTGCATGCTAGTTTTGTATCATGTACTTTCTCAGTGCGATACAACTAAGAGACTAGTAGCATTCTTTCCTATCATAATGCCTCCTGATTGGTGCCCATGCTCAGTAATAGTTGAATTTGCATGGGGAGAGAAGTACTAAGGATGGTGGGTGGCAGATGAGTCAGCACAACTTGGCATAGTAGTACTGAAAAAGGTTATGAGTATGATTGGAGACATGAGGTATGAGTGGTCTTGGGAATGAGTAGCTAGGCAGAGGTGTATGAGGGATCATGGGTCGATGGACCTCGATCAGCAAGAGGGCATCTGCTTGGCTGCAGAGGCATAGTCAGGCATGGGACACTGTGAAGACATGGGAGCTTAATATTGTATACAGTGATTTCTGCCTAGCCAGCCTTGGGAATGAGGCTTCCTCTGCGGGCCTTCCTTTGTTGCTTGGTCCAATTCCCAATCTAGCTTGCCTCCTTCGGCCCAAAATTCAAAACGAAGGCTGCTTCTTAGAGGTCAGGATCACGATGCTGTGAATTTTTCCAACTCTGCTCCCTGTGACCTTACTGTGCCTTTTAAGAGATGTGTTCAGCCCTGCTTCTCTTGCAGAAGGGTTTTGTCACAGTGATGCCCGATAGACAGCTTGTAAATAGCTTTGGGTTTCTCTTGTGTTTTTTCGGAGTAAGACAAAAGAATCACGAGTGGGCAGAGTCAATCTCACACAGACCCCGAGGAGTTTGGTTTTGCTTTCAGTGGACTTTTTTCATAGTTAGCTGCTGGAATGCACAGCTAGAATTCCCTCTGATGTTAGATTGAAGACTTAGAGAGTTTCCTCTTAGAAAACAAAAGGGGCAGATTGGTTCTTCCTACTGGACTGGAGAGAGCAGCACACGGGAATCCTAACTGTTTGGCTACATTGCATTTTGCCAGAGGATGTGTTTACAGGATGCTGCCTATGTTGGAACAGTTGATGATTAGTAGTTAAATAAAACATTGTCTTGTGAAGTGTGTTATACAGTAAAGTTATGTGATTCTTATTTTTGTTAGATTTTAAGTGCAATGTAAGATCAAAGTGTGTTTTGATTAAAGTTTTTAGTGGTGGACCAATTGAATCGTATTTGGAACACAGCACCTGAAACTTGCCTTAAAAATAAAATAAAATAAAAGTTAGGGTCTAAGCTACCTCCACTATATATTTTTGGGGAGACTGATCTGGTCTCTGACATCCCTAACATGGAATCGACGTGAAGACACATGATGAGGGTGACTCGGGAGTCTATAATGGGATAAAGACAGGTTAAGTGTGTAGGCAAAAACTTGTCAGATGGAATATATTTAGTTACACACTTTGGCAGGAAGCGTTGAGGAGATAAATATTATTTAAATTAGAGCAAGACTACAGAAAGCTGCAGCTCTGAGGGATTTGGGCACGTTCATACATAATTCCAAAAAACCTAACATCCAAGTTCATTTGGTAATTGGGAAGGAAAATGGAATGTTGACCTATGTTTCAAAGGGAATGGAGTATAAAAATAAGGAAGCCTTGGTAAACCTATGCAAGGTACTTGTCAGACCAGACTTGGAATGCCATGAACAATTTTGGTCCCCTTTATCTGATGAAAAGTATACTGCCATTGGAGGCAGTCCAGAATGGGCTCATCTAGATTGATCCTGGTTGTGCAGGGGTTTCCTTATGAAGTGATTGTGTAGATTGGGTTCTGTGCCCATTGGAGTTTAGATGAATGAGAAGTAGCTTTATTGAAACGTACAAGATACTTTGCAGAATTAACAGGGTAGTCACAGAGAATAGGATCAGAGAGTCTAGGAGAGTCTCAGAGTCTAGGATCAGTAGCCTTAACCTGTGTAAAGAATTACCCCTTTGGACAGAGATGTGGAATCTCTTCTCTGAAGATAATGAATTTGTGGAATTCTTTACTGTAGAGGCTGGGTCATTAAGTAAGGGAATCCAGGTAATGGACAAAGCAGGAAACTAGAGTAAGAGATTACCAGACCAGCTGCGATCTAATTCAGTGGTGAAAAAGACCTGATGGGCTGAATGATCTGTCTCTGCTCCAATGTGTTATGGTCACTCAGCAAGCACTTGGTGCTGACTGCATGAAAATATCATTTAAATAAGTTAGCAAATTAATGCAGCAAGATTTGCTTTTGGCTTTTGGGAAGTTTTATGCTGTGCTTTGGAAGACTTCTGCAGTACAGAATACATGATATTAACTAAAGTTTTTTACACCATACCAGACATGTTGAAAAAAGGTATGGATAAAATATGTGAAAGTACAAACAGCAGTTAATTTGAAGCTTCGGGTCTGATGTTAATATTGTGATGTACTTAACAAGTCAGCTATTTTTTTTTCTCTCCATCATATATCTTAAGGAAGAAGAGCTAAGAAAAAGTGGAGAATCAAAATATGCACATCTTAATGAAGATCTGCATGTACTTATTGAAGTATTTGCTCCACCATCAGAGGCATATGCAAGAATGGGACATGCTCTAGAGGAAGTGAAGAAGTTTCTCATACCGGTCAGTGTTCAAATCATTCTTCACCCATCCCAAGGTTTCATATAGGAACACTGTTTTCATTTGTTTGAATTATAATTTGAATAAATAATTCTAAGAATACATACGATAGAATATTTAGAAGCAAATATAACCCAAACAAACTAGTGTGTCCTGTAGTATAGTTCTTAACTGTATGCCTCTGCTGTGCTTTCTCTCCATAAGTTCATACAATCAAATGAAACCCATTTGTTATTCATTGACGTTGTTGTTGGTAACTTCCACAATTATACTGCCATTTTTTCCGGGAATGACAACACTGATTTCTAATCATCTCAACCATGTCACTAGGTTGAATGCTAGTTTATATTCAATCCTGCAGTCAGTTCACAGTTAAACAGCCAAGTGAAAAAATGGATTTACTAAATTGGGTATGGAAGGTTGGAGTTAATAAGGAAATGCTGAATAGGCTGGGACCTTTTTACACTCAAGCGTAGGAGGTTGAGAGGTGACCTAATAGAGGTTTATAAAATAATGAGAGGTATAAATAGAGTTGATAGTTCTTTTCCCTAGGATGGAGATTTCGAGACTAGGGGGCACATTTTTTAAGGTGAGAGGAGAGAGATTTTAAAAAAGATATGTGGCAAATGTTTTTACACAGTGTAGTTGAGTGTGAAATGAACATTGAGGAGGTGGTGGATGCGAGTACAATTATAATGTTTAAAACACATTTGGGTAAGTACATGAATGGGAAAGGTTTGGAGGGGTATGGGTCAGGAGCAGGCAGATAGGACTAGTTTAGTTTGGGATTATGTTTGGCATGGACTGGTTGGACTGAAGGCCCTGTTTCCGTGCTTTGTAACTCTAAGTGCACATTGAACAAATCAGATCTCATAGTGTGGAACTGGAGGAACACAGCAGGCCAGGCAGCATCAGAGGAACAGGAAAGCTGACATTTCGGTTTGGGACCCTTCTTCAGAAATGGGGAGGGGGAGGGGAGCTCGGAAATAAACAGAGGAGCGGTGGGGTTGAAGAAGGTAGGTGGGATGGTGATGAGTGCATGTCGGCTGTGGTCAGGATTGGTCAGTGAGGTGGGAGAGAAGATGGACAAGTTGTGCCAGGTCAAGGAGGCAGGAGTGATAGGGAGGGTTGGTCATGGTATGAGGCCAGGTGTGGGGAGATCTTGAAACTGGTAAAGTCCACATTTAGGCCATCGGGCTGTAGGCTGCCAAGACGGAATATGAGGTGCTGCTCCTCCAGTTTGTGGGTGGCATCATTGTGACACTGGAGGAGGCCCAGAATGGACATGTCACCCAGGGAATGGGAGGGGGAGTTAAAATGTTTCGCGACCGGAAGGTGGTGGCGTTTGTCGTGTACAGAGTGCAGATGCTCTACAAAACTGTCTCCGAGTCTCCACTTGGTCTCACCGATGCAGAGGAGGCCACATTGGGTACAGCAGACCAAGTTGATGGATGTGCAAGTGAACCCCTGTCTGATGTCAAAGGTTTGTTTGGCACCTGGAATGAAGATGAGGGGGGAGGTGTAGGGGCAGGTGTAGCACTTCCTGCAGTTGCAGGGAAAGGTGGCGGGGTTAGTGGGGAGTGTGGAGTGGACGAGGTAGTTGCGGAGAGAGCGATCCCAATGAAAGGCAGATAGGGGTGGGGAGGGAAGTACATCTTTGGTTGTGGGGTCAGATTATAGGTGGCGGAGAATGATACGTTGGATGTGGAGGTTAGTGGGGTGATATGTGGGGACAAGAGGGATTCTGTCGTTTTTGCTTTTGTTTTTGTTGAGGGGAGGTGATGTGAAGGGCACTGATGTGGGAAATGCAAGAGATGCATTTGAGGGTATTTTCAATCACCGGAGCGGGGGAGGTTACAGTCCTTGAACTGCTGTCAAAACAAGGCTTCCAACCCTCCCTCGACCTCTTCATCTCCAACTGCCGTGAAAATGTCTTCCTATTTCAAGGACTGTAACTTGCCCCCTCCGGTGATTGAAAATGCCCTCAAATGCATCTGTTGCGTTTCCCACACCTCTCCCCTCCCATCAGCAAAAACAAGAATAAAGACAGAATCCCCCTTGTCCTCACACATCACCTCACCAACCTCCACATCCAATGTATCATTCTGCCTCACTTCCGCCACCTGCAATCCAACCCCACAATCAAAGATATATTTCTCTCCTGACCCCTATCTACCTTTTGTAGGGACCGGTCTCTCTGCGACTCCCTTGTCCACTCCACACTCCCCGGTACCTTTCCTTGCAACCGCAGGAAGTGCTACATCTGCCCCTTCACCTCCCCCCTCACTTTCATTCAAGGCACCAAACAAACCTTCGACATCAGACATGGGTTCACTTGCACATCCATCAACTTGGTTGGCTGCATCTGCTGCACCGAATGAGGCCTCCTCTACATCGGGAGACTGAGACCGTTTTGGAAAGCATCTGCGCTCTGTATGCGACAAACAACACCTTCTGGCCGCGAACCATTTTAACTCCCCCTCCCACTCCCTGGGTGACTTGTCCATTCTGGGCCTTCTCCAGCATTGCAATAATGCCACCTGCAAACTGGAGGAGCAGCACCTCCTATTCCACCTCAGCAGCCCACAGCCCAATGACCTAAACGTGGATGTTACCAGTTTCAGAATCTCCCCACCCCCAGCCTCATACCATGACCAACCCTCCCTCTCATCCCCACCTCCTTGACCTGACACAACCTGTCCATCTTCTCTCCCACCTCACTGACCAATCCCGACCACTGTCTACATGCACTCACCTATCACCATCCCTCCCTCCTCTCTATTTATTTCTGAGCTCCCCTCCCCCCTCCCATTTCTGAAGAAGGGTCCTGGCCCGAAACATCAGCCTTGCTGTTCCTCTGCTGCCTGGCCTGCTGTGTTCCTCCAGCTCCACACTTTGTTATCTCTGACTCCAGCATCTGTAGTTCTTGCTGTATCAGATCTCATTCTATTTTTCCTTAAGTTGAAAATAATTAGTTTATTGATCATAATGTCATTTGGATTTGCTTCCTTACACCTGTTTGTCTTGCTGCTTTTTGGTCTTTTAAAAATGACTTTGTTCACTCCCTTCAGCAACACTTGCCTTAATTCTCCCTTCCTCATATCAAGTGATTGAGGAAGATTTCTTGCACTAAACGTTTTATGGAAGTGCAGGTTGCTGTTGCATAAAAAATATTCTTGGATCGTTTGGAAGAAGAGAGTGAGACCGATTGAATGAGGGAAGTGAACTTATTAGCAAATAGTTTCAGCATTAGGGAAGCCTGCAGGAAGTCTTTTTGGTGCCTTGAGGCTTACTAGTTTCATTTTAGTTTGGATTCGATATAAGAAATTGAAGCAACTTTAATGTTAATTAATTACTGCAATGAAAATTCAAGCTTATAAACACACAGCTATTGCCCTCAGCGGTGTCACACAAATAAAGGGACATTTTAGAATAATCTAAATAAGTACATTCCTACTATATTTAAACAAAAGATTCCAAGGATCATCTTGATTAACTAAAGAAGTTGAGTAGAATGTCAAACTCGAGGAACAAGTATATAAATGAGCAAATATGAATGGCAGGTCAGATAACTAGTCAGAATACAAAGAATGGCAGAGAATGACTAAAAGGTGAATCTGGATTAAATATATTAGAGCCTTGAAAGGGAGTTAGCAAGGGTTTGCATAGGTATCTTAAAAAGGAAAGGAGTAAGTGGTGTTGGTCCTCTTAAGGTTGATTAAGGGGATTTAATGGTAGATAATAAATGAATGGCAGATGTAATGAATAAACGTTTTGCTTCTGCCTTCACTGTAGATGATACAAAAACAACCTAGTAATAGTTATAATTTTGGAGGTTGAAGAAATGGAGAAACTTGGTGAAATTATAATCGCTGGGGAAATGATACTGAGCAAACTGATGGATTTGCAGGTTCATAAGTTTCAGGGTCCTGTTGGACTTCATCCCTAGGGTGTTAAATGTGGTGACAAGTGAGATAATATGTACACTGGTGTTAATTTTTCAAAATTTATAAGTTTCAGAAAAAGTTCCTTAACACTAGAAAGTATAAAATGTAACTCGGCCATTCAAGAATGGAGCCAGGCAGAAAATTGGAAACTGTAGACTTGTTAGCTTGACATTTACATTGGGAAAGCTATTGGTACCACTCTTCAAGGAGGTAACAACTGGGCACTCAAAAATCTCAAGGAATCAAGAAGAGCCAGCTTGGTTCTGTGGAAGGGAAATCCTGTTTACACAATTTGTTGGAATCGTTTGAAAAAGTAACATACTGTTAGTAAAGGGAGGTCTGTTGATGTACTATATTTGGATTTCCAGGAGATTTTAACAAAGTGCCGCAACAAAAGATTATTGTGCAAAGTTCAACCTGATGGTATAGGGAGTAACGTGCAAGCAAAGATAGAGGATCAGGTGGCTGGCTGGCCAGCAAAAGACTGCAGGAACGTGGCTGTTTCAGATTGGCAGTTTGTGACAGGTGGAATCCATCGGGATCTGTGCTGGCCCCTCGTGTTTTTTTAAAGATATTTTCTGAATCACCCTGTTCAGAGATTTTATTACCCTGACCTCTTGGCACAGAGGTAGGGTTATGACCACTGAACCACAAGCACCCAACATTTTAGAATTCATATCAATGATTAGATGAGGGGATTGAAAATATGATGGCATAATTTACATCTAACATACAGAGCAATTGAACATGCTGTATTTGAAGTGGCAGGTAATTGGAAATTCGGGGTTATTGTTATGGATGGAGTGGAAGTGTTTGGCAAAACAGTCACTCAGTCTGCATTTTGTCTCCCACATACAGAGAAGACCATGTTGAGCGATGAACCACAAGCACAGTACTCCATTTCTCCATTGACAATTGGTTCAGCTTTCAAAAGATAATACATTAAATGGAAAGGGCTTGGAGAGTAAAGGGAGAATATCTTTTGTAAAACAAATTTTCTTTCGAGGAGGAAGAAGTATCAATTTAACAGCCAGGTAGAAATGCTGTAGCAGTTTGCAATGGTGTGCGCACGCTTCATGTAAAATTCAAGCATGTAGGTGTGAGGCACCTTTAGAAATTGATCTAAATTGTTCAGTTGACTGGCATCAAGTAATAAGGGCTAATATTAGAAATGCCTTAACTAATACTAAATGAGCTACATTGCTGCAGGCAGTATTTTTTTTGTGCCTGTTTTTTAAAATAAAAATCTTTAAACCCAATAGCAACAGACTTAAGGTAACTGTGGTGATACTTCTTTTAAAGGATTTCCTAATATTAAAATGATTCTCTTTACAGTTAAACCTTAATTTCTTATCCAGTTTTATTTCCATGAGTGTAAAACATTTTGATTGCAGGTAGTATAGAAGTTGTAACAAATGACTGTTGAATATCTAAAATAAACCACAGGTAAGAGAACAAGTTTAATAATGACTGTACGAGTGGAAACACTGCCCCCGCCCCATAGTACACAACTGGATTGCAGTCAAATTTGTTGTGTATACATATGTGTTTGCAGGATTACAATGATGAAATTAGACAACAACAGCTTCAAGAATTGTCCTACTTAAATGGTACACCAGAGAGTCCAGAAACTCCAGCAGTTCGAGGGAAGCCAGTAAGGGGGCGAGGGACACTTGCGCCAGCTCTAAGCAGGTGAAAGCATTTTTATTTTTATGGTGCAGGCTGGTAAGCTTTTTGACTTGATTTCAAAATCATTTTTGCATTGCCAGATGTGTTTCCCTATGAATATAATTGTGGAGAAAATTCCATCTAATATACAATTTGGCCAAAGTCAAGTTTGCAAGTATTTGGAATAAATAGGTCAACTCCTTTGCTAAAGTATTGGGTGAAAGCAATTTCCTACAAAGTGTCTACTCTTCTTGTTCCTATTCACCCACCGGTGTAGCAGTCAGCTTTATCTTTAACACTGAATAATGGAGTGAGTGCTTGTAGTTACATAATACTACAAAAATTCAAAATGTGATATTTGCATTATTGGCATATGTAGCAATGGCAAGTTAAGATACAGTAATTACAGACTCTAACTTGCCCCCGAAGACCTGAATGAATTAAAAGTGCCAAGATTTAGTGTATGCTGAAATTCACTGGTCGTATTCAGTGCTCTGTTAGCTTTGTTTGTCAGAGCAAAGGCATATTGAAAACTGTACAGAGAAAGCCTTAGGGGATCGGTTACCAGCTTTATAGGGATCACCACTTGGACCCCAGCTGATCACAATATACGCTAATGATTTAGATGAGGGAATTCCAGGTTTGCAGATGAGACAAATCTGGGTGAGAGGAGGATACAGAGATGCTTCAGTGTGATTTTTGGGCAAGTTGACTGGCCAAATGCTTGGCATATGAAATATACTCTAGATAAATAAGAGGTTATCCACTTTGATCTGCCTTCTGTCTTTGCTATCATTCATTACCTGAATGGCGATAGTTTGGGAAAGCTGCATTGAGAATTGGCTGGTGTCCTTGTACAGCACTTGATGAAAATAAATTGCAAGTGCAGCAGGCAGTAAAGAAGGCAAATGGTATGTTGGCCATTGTAGCAAGAGGATTTGAATACAGGAGCCAGGATGCCTCACAATTGCATAGGGCCTTGGTGACACCACACCTGGAATATGGCATGCAGTTCTGTCCTCCTTGTGAGGAAGGATGCTGTGACTATGGAGGGAGTGCAAAGAATGTTTATCAGATTGATTTGTTTGATGTGAAGTGGGACTGGATCAGTTAGGACTATATCCACTGGAATTTATAAGAGTTGGTGGGGGGGCGGTGGGGACAGGCAAAGATGGATCTCACAGAAACCTGTATAATTGCAACTAAACTAGACAGGATAAGTGCAAGAAGGATGTTTTCCCAAAAAACTGGGGAGTCCAGACCTAGGGGTCACAGTCTAAGGACTGAGATATGAAATTTCTTCACCCTGGGAACGGTGACCGTATGGAATTCTCTGCCACAAATGCAGTTAGGGCCAATACATTGAATGAATGCTTTCAAGAAACAGATCAGTAGTTCCTGGGGCTAAAACAATCAAAAGGTATGGGCAAAAATTGGGTTCCAGGTACTGAGTTGGATGATAAGCTGTGATCTTGCGGAATTGCAGCATAGGCTAGAAGGGTCGAATGACCTATTCCAGATCCTAATTTTTGTGTTTCTTTGTAAGAAGGCAGATTATGATGGGAGGGAACATGGTAAATATTTTCTATTTACGTAAAGATTATTGTGAGGCAGGCCATACACACCTGTCTGTTGAATAAATGTTAAAGATTGGGAGTTTTCAATGTGCGGCCAAATCAATATGATGCATTTGACATTATCTGTAGAAGTTAAAATGACCCCAAAGAGAGGAAAAGACCTAGTATTGCTGATCCTGTTGGTTGTTGATGTGGAAATGTTCTGCTTCTTAGCATGACATGTTTAAGAACCAGCAGTCTCGCCACATAAACGTAGTGACTATAAGAGCAGGTCAGAGGCTGGGAATATTGTGGTGAGTAACTCACCTCCTGACTCTGCAAATCTTGTCTATCATTTACAAGGCATAAGTCAAGAATGTGATGGAATACTCCCCACTTGCCTGGATGACTGCATCTCCAACAACATGCCAGAAGCTTGACGCCATCCAGGACAAAGCAGCCTGCATGATTGGCACCACATTTTCAAACATCCACTCCCTCCATCACTGATGCTCAGTAGCAGCAGTATGTCCTATGTATAAGATGCACTGCAAAAATTCATTCAAGGTCATTAGGTAGCAACTTACAAATCCACAACCACTTCCATCTAGAAGGACAAAGGCAGCAGGTACATGGGAGCACCACCACCTGCAAGTTTTCCTCTGAGCCACTCACCATCCTGACTTGGACATATACCACCGTTCCTTCACTGCCATTGGGTCAAAATCCTAGAATTCCCTACCTAACAGCATTTTGGGTCAACCTACAGCACATGGACTGTCGCAGTTCAAGAAGGCAGCTCACCACCATATTCTCAAGGGCAACTATGATGGGCAATAAATACTGGCCAGCCAGCGGCACCCACGTCCCATGAGTGAATTTTTAAAACATGTCCAATGCAAACAAAACCTCATGTTTTGAATTTTACTAAAATTGCACTTCTTTAAATAAGCGTATAATAAGGAAGAGTATAACAAAAGAATTTCTTTGAGGATTCTTTCATGAACGTAAGACAGATTACATTGAATGATTTATGATGGTCTATGATTTCATGGCCTTTTCTCTATGCTTTATTGTCTTGGCTGACTTGATGTTTCTCTCTTTCCTTTTGTGCTCTACAGAGGTCGTGGTGGAGTTCCTCCCCCAGCATCCACAGTTCCACGTGCAGGACCTGTTCCCAGAGGAGCGCCACCTGGTCGAGGTCCGGGAGCTAGGGGACGTGGGGTTCCAGCACCAAGAGCAAGAGGAGCACCAGGTTATAGACCTCCGCCACCCCCAGTACAAGACACATCATATGGTGAATATGTAAGTAAATTTCTGTTACTCAAATTTTTGTGATTTTGAATGGTAATAACAAGATAATAAAGTGGAGTTCAAAATAGCTTGACATGCTTTTGTATTTTTGAAGCAGTGTTAAAACGTAGCCAGGTTAAGGTAGTCTTTGAAGAAGTTCATTATTATTAGAACGGATTGCCATTAGCAGGAAAATAAATCAAAACTTCTTCTACAACTAAGAAAAGCAAGTTAAGCTACATGGATTCCTTTTTAGAAAAGAAACAGAAATGTTATCTGGAGGATCTGAAAATAGCATGTGACTCTATGAATTCTGAATTGAAGAATTCAATAAGGGAGATGGATGCAGGTCTTCTCAAGCTGGCTCATGAAATTGACATACAGTGAGTGGCACTACTGATGAGCCGTTGGTGATTGATATTGATGTCCATCACTCCAAGTACTTCTGTGCACTCAACACCCTCACTACCCTTACCCCACTCAGTGCTTCTTCCAGTTGTCATTCAACATGGAAGAAAATTGGTTCATCAGCTGAGGAGGTTGTAGTGGGTAATCAGCAGGACGTTTCATTGCCCATGTTTGACCTGATACCATGAGACCTCGTTCCAGGAAGCTATGCAGCTTGGGGCTGTGAACAAGATAGTGAGAAGCCATCCACTCCTCACCAGCTGAGGAGCTTTCTCTGTTTTCTGCAGTAAAAACAATTTAAGCCCAAAGAAAGCCAACTTTTATCTTCTATCAGTTGATAAAGGCAATGCCTCTTAATACTTGAGCCATTTTACAATTGTCACGTAGCCATTCTGTTTCTTGGTCATCCTTTTCTAGATGCTTTTACTGGTTTTCAGGAGGCACAATGTTCTGATCAGCACAAAAACTATCTCAGCAGATCCTCTGAACAGAGACAACTGTATTCCCAGTTTTCTGTCTGTTCATACTATGCATGGTTTTTTTGCTTCCCCTCCCACCTGCATGCCTGTCTCTGTAAATGTCACCTTACATACAAGGAGTTAGAGGTTTAAATAGTGAAATTATATGTCAACAGTCTATAATTGTTTTTTCTGTAGCTAGGGTCAAATTAATTCTCGTAATTGGTCATTCTGGCAATTACAGAAATCTGGTCTGTGCTTTTTGTTAGCCTGGGTCTGAAAATTGGGTAAATTATGGAATTCCGTGTATTTTACAAAACATTTAACATTTGTAATGACTCTGGGGATAGCATGGCTTGATTTCCAGCATGCTACTCCAGTGAGGTATAGCAAGTGGGATTGCACGTTCCCAGGGATGGTGGTACAAACTGAAAGAACTGAAATTAGGAATACCATTCGATGACACAAGACTGCAATACAGCATTTGATGAGTTGATTTCTTTCTTCTAAGCTGTTATAGTTCATTGCTATACCAAAGGACAAAATGTAATAATTGTAAAGCAGTAATTCAGCTGGTGAACTGATAATTTTAACAGAGGATAAGTAGGTGACCAAACTATGCATGAAGCCGGTTGATCATTTAAATGTTAAATGACACTGCCTGTTCTAATTTTACCAGTCGGTCTTTTCAACCGTGTTGATGTGTTTTTTAAGCCATGAAAAATCTAGCTGGTGCAAGGAGGAAAAAAAATCCATGGGGTAGATTTATACTCAAAGGGTGGACTCCCCATAACCCAATGTACATCTCAGGGTTGAGCCTGCCTCCACTTGGCTAACTCAACCTGTTTTAATTTTATAGCCCAGCAATTGCAGTTTGGTGAGGCTTTCCTCCATTCCAAGAAGCACATTTATACATAAGACCATAAGACAACAAGACGATAAGACATAGGAGCAGAAATTAGGCCATTCGGCCCATCGAGGCTGCTCTGCCATTCAATCATGACTGATAAGTTCCTCAACCCCATTCTCCTGCTTTCTCCCCATAACCCTTGATCCCCTTGATAATCAAGAACTTATCTATCTCAGTCTCAAATATACTCAATGACCTGGCCTCCACAGCCTTCTGTGGCAGTGAATTCCATAGATTCACCACTCTCTGGCTGAACAAGTTTCTCCTTATCTCTGTTCTAAAAGGTCTTCCCTTTACTTTAAGGCTGTGCCTTCGGGCCCTAGACTCCTCCTACCAATGGAAGCATCTTCCCAACATCCACTCTGTCCAGGCTATTTAGTATTCTGTAACTTTCAATTAGATCCCTCCTCATCCTTCTAAACTCCAATGAGTATGGTCCCAGAGTCCTCAAACATTCCTCCATATGTTAAGCTTTCCATTCCTGGGACCATTCTCGTGAACCTCCTCTGAACCCGCTCCAGGGACAGTGCATCCTTCCTGAGATATGGGCCTCAGAATTGCACACAATACTCCAAATGACCAGAGCTTTCTAAAGCCTCAGGAGTACATCCCTGCTTTTATATTCAAATCTTCTCAAAATAAATGCCAACATTGCATTTGCCTTCCTGACTACTGACTCCACCTGCGAGTTTACCTTGAGAGAATCCTGGACTAGAACTCCCAAGTCTCTTTGCACTTCAGACTTGTGAATTTTCTCCCCATTTTAAAAAATAGTCCATGCTTTTTTTATTCTTACCAAAGGGCATGACCTCACACTTTCCCACGTTGTACTCCATCTGCCACTTCTTCTTTGCCCACTCTCCTAACCTGTCCGAATCCTTCTGCAGCCTCCCCTCCTCCTCAATACTACCTGTCCCTCCCCTTATGTTTGTATCGTCTGCAAAGCCTGCACATCTTTGGATTGTGGGAGGAAACCGGAGCACCCGGAGGAAACCCACGCAGACACGGGGAGAATGTGCAGACTCTGCACAGACAGTCACCCGAGGCTGGAATCGAACCCGGCTCCCTGGCACTGCGAGGCTGCAATGCTAACCACTGAGCCCTGTGGTCCCAGTACTGACCCTTATGGAACACCACTTGTCACTGGCTGCTATCCTGAGAAAGACCCTTTTATCCCCACTCTCTGCTTTCTGCCAGACAGCCAATCTTCTATTCATGCTAGCACCTTGCCTCTAACACCATGGGCCCTTACCTTACTCAGCAGCTTCCTGTGCGGTACCTTGTCAAAGGCCTTCATAAAGTCCAGGTAGATAACATCCATTGGTTCTCCTTGGTCTACCCTGCTCATTACTTCCTCAAAGCATTCTAGCAGATTTGTCAGGCATGACCTCCCCTTGATGAAACCATGCTGACTTTGCCCTACTTTACCATACACTTCCAAATATTCAGAAATCTTATCCTTTACAATGGACTCCAAAATCTTACCCACGACCGAGGTTAGGCTAATAGGCCTGTAATTTTGCGTCTTTTGCCTTACTCCCTTTTTAAACAGGGATGCCACGTTAGCAATTTTCCAGTCCTCTGGGACCCTCCCTGTCTCGAGCGATTCCTGAAAGATCACCACTAATGCTTCCGCTATCTCTTCAGCTATCTCCTTTAGAAACCTGGGGTGTCGTTCATCTGGTCCAGGTGATTTTATCCACCTTCAGACCAATCAGTTTTACTAGCACCTTTTTCCTTGGTGATGGCCACCATACTCAGCTATGCCCCCTGACTCTCATGAATTTTTGGGAGATTACTTGTGTCTTCCACCGTGAAGACTGACGCGAAGTAATTATTCAGTTCCTCAGCCATTTCCTTGTTCCCCGCTACTATCTCTTCACTGTCATTTTCCAGTGGTCCAATGTCCACTTTTGCTTCTCTTTTGCCCTTTTTATATCTAAAGAAACTCTTACAGTCTTCAGTTATATTACTGGCTAGCTTACCCTCATATTTAATCTTCTCCCTCCTTATTTCTTCTTTTGTTGCCCTCTATACAACCGTCCGCATCAGCAGGAGCAGTGGTATTACACTGAGGATATCTAGGAGGAAATTGGTAATGTCGGACCTCCAAGTAATTTCAGGATCTTGCCAGGACTGTGCTGGCACCCCATAACAAGATAGGTGAGAAATGAGGATGGACAGATCATGGAGAACTTTGGATTCTGAAAGGATAAACCCCCATCTCCTCTTTCATTAACCAGTAGCCTACTGGTGAGCAGAGACCTCTAATTGGGCAATAATTTCCCATTTAAGGGATTCAATTTGTCCATGGGTGGGCAGCCCACACAATATGTGCATTGTTGTGGCAGGAGCGGGCAGATGACACTTGTCCTACACTATGGGCCCACTATTTTGCTGTTCCTGTCGGCTGGTAACCCATAAAATTTAGTTCCATGAAGCAAGTGCAATTATGGAATTGCCTGAAAGCCAAGAGAAGCAGTGTCCCAGTAAACCGCCCACCAACAATTTGTCTGCTTTTCCCTGACAGCCATTGGACTGCACCTGATTTTTAACTCCTACCCCCTACAACAAGATCCACGTAGCTTCCTTCTGCTACAGGCTTGCATCCTGATAGACATCTTCTGTGTCTATCAGGCGTGAAACTGAAGGAAATATATTTGGCTATCTTACTAGAGATAGTCAGGGGATCTCTTCCACTGACAGTTTTCGGAATGGGAAAAATTAGAGTCTTGACGGAGACCAGATCTGTAGTTGGCCCTCTCTTATTTCTTATCTGCATGCTGACTCTCAACAACATCTGAAAACAGCCAGTTTTTGCATGTACACGAACACTCAGCTCTACCTCGCTAACACCCCTGTCAGCTTGTTCATTATCTTTAAAATTTTCAGATGGTTTGACACTGCAATTCTTTAAAGAGGAGGTAGATTTTTGAAATCTCGGAAAGTTGAGACCTTTGAAAAGTTGAAACAAAATGTTTGGGGGATGAGTGGCCTACTCCTGCTCTGATTTCTAATGTCCAACAGCCAGTATTTGATGAACAGAAATTTCCTCCAACGAAGTACTAGGAAGTCAGAAACCATCACCTTTCCTCCCGACCTGAAAATCAATCTGTTGCCACTGTCACCAGCCCTCCTCCTGATAACTATCGAAAGCAGCTCCAGACTGTTTCCAACCATGGTGTCATGTTGTGTTGAAGTGTTCAAGTCTCAAAATAGGGGGAAAATAGTTTAAA